GGAGCCTGCAGATCAGCACCAGCACGGAGGAGGACGGAGGCAAATACGAGTGCGTCGCGAGGAACTCCGTGGGAACAGCCTTCAGCAACCTCGTCAGCCTCTATGTCAGGGGTGAGTACTCCTGGGGGGGGGCGGTTCGGGGGAATGAATCTCAAGGTCGAGGCGAGGGTTGCAGGCGGGGTGACGAGATGGAGGATCCCCTGATTTATATATATTTATATATATATATATATATATATATATATATATATATATATATATATATATATATATATAAAATTATTAATGTGAGTGTTGTTGTTAACGAGCGCGCCTTTTCATATAGTTGTGTACCCTAATTGTTCGCGTGCGGAGGGAGCTAAGGTTAGCTTCACTTTATGGGATGATGGCGCGTAAAATACCGTGTGTTTGTGTTAAAACTCTTAGCGAAATAAAGTTTCCATGAACGCTTTGTTTAAAGTGGGGGCGGGATACAGTTTATTCGAAAACATAATGATCATGCGGAACACATAAACACGATCATAGAAATATTGCCTCCAGGGCGGGAATTGATAGATGTGCGAGTAATTTATGAAGTAAAATGTTCAGCTTTTTCTCGTTGCAGATTTCAATTCATTTATGCAACCATTAGTATCTAGCAGATATTAAGTATAGAAATCATGAAATGTTCAACACTGGAAATGAATTATAAACGTGCTTTTTTTACTAGTACTGTTTTTTTAAACAAACTTTTTTTTCTTTTTTCTTTTTTTTTTTTTTACAAATACGCCCATTTCCGATTGTGTGTCTGGGATGCAGCAACGCTTGAAGAGATGCGGCAAAAAATAAAAAACAAAAAAAAAATCTGGATAATTAAACCCTAACTTTTAGTTATTCGAGTTCTGCCAAACTCCCAACTTGCGAGACTTGAGTTTAGATATTCGCGTGATGCTCATTACTATGCCAGCAAACTCGTTGTGTGGAGACAGCGTAAAATATACAATTAAGAGCATCGATTGCTCTACCTTAAATTCCCGAAAGAAACATGTTATGTTATTTGTTTGTATATTTATTTATTTACTTATTTTGAAAAATAAAGTCGACAAATTGACCGCCGCTGCAACGGATACCCGTGGCCATCAGATGCTTTGATCAGCAGATTGATAAATAGATTATGTAGATCTGAAAGCATCAGTTCTTTATGTTTTGTATTTTGTGTACTGTATTTGTTATAAAGCTTTGAAAATATATTGTGATGCACCTTAATCATGTAGGAACGCACGTGTACGCGCTTACCCTACTCGCACGCACACGTTCACACTCTCACTCATACTCTCGCACACACACACACTCTTACTCATATTCACACTCATACTTAGATGGAGGAAATGCAGGTGGAGGTAGGTGGAAGCGATGCAGGTGGAGGGAGGAGTAGGTGGAGGCACATGCAACAGGAAGTAATGCAGGTGGAGGCAGGTGGAGGTGGAGGCAGTGCAGGTGGAGAAAGGTGCAGGTGAAGGCGGATGTAGGTGGAAGCAGGTGGAGGGGAAAATTAGATTCATTTTATGTTTATTTGTTTGTGCTCTGTGGCGTGGGAATTGGCTGAAGTCACCTTAGAAGATATTACATTCCGCTTTTTTTTTCGTGATGATGACACGGGAGTTTAACCTCTCCGTCCGACATCAGAAAGAATCACTTTGCAACTTATCATGCCTCTCCTCCTGTGGAATTCTCGATCGCCTTATGTTCATTATTTTATTCCATCGTTTTCCAATAATCATCTCGTCGTTTGTGCTCTTCCCTCCTTCGCCGCCCGCTCGCTTTCCCGCCATTTTTTTTAAAAGTCGCTTCTTTTCTTTCTCGAACGCAGGAAAACGTGAATTGAGATGCCTTCTTCCTTTTTTTTTTTTGAAAGGGGGGGGTAGGGGTGTGGGTGTGTGGTTAGGGTAGAGGGATGAGGAGAGGGAGAGGGGAGGGGAAGGGGATAGGTATAGGTAGAGAGGAATGTTGGACATAAGGGAGGGAAGGATGAAGGGGGGGGGGATGGGCTGTAGAAGAGTGGGGGAATGGGGGAGGGGGGGTAGAGACCGGAGGCAGAGGATAGGTATAGAGGAATGAGGGAATTGGGGGAGGGGATAGAGGCATGAAGGACAGAATGGGGGGGGGGGGAGATAGAGGCATGGGGAAGGTGGGTAGGGGGGGGGGAGGGAGATAGAGGCATGGGGAAAGGTGGGTAGGGGGGGTGGAGGGCGAAGCACATTCTTGCCCCTCAAGTGACAATGTCAATTACCATGACGATGTTGGAACGGCTTAAGGAGGCTATCAGTCCGCGCCGGATTGGCCGAGGAATCCTGGAATGGGAATATTGGAACGATGATTATTGCAGCCGTTGAAAGCAGGGAGAGGGAGGGAGGTGGGCGTAAGGAGGGGGTGGGATAGATAGAGAAAGGAGGGAGGAGGGGAGGAGGAGGAGGAGGAGGAGGAGGAGGAGGAGGAGGAGGAGGAGGATTAGACGGAAGGAGAAAGGGGAGTGAGGAGGAGGTAGAGAGAGAAAGGTTCGGAGGAGAGGATTAAACGGAGGAGGGGGGGGGGGAGAGGAGAGGAAAGGAGAGCAAAGCAAAGGATATTGGACGATGGTTAGAGAGGGGGGCAGGAGGAGAAATGATAAAAAAGGAAGAGCAGAAGAAAGTCGAGTGCGTGTCTTTTCCCCACGTCTCTCATTTCTTTCTATCGTCCATTATCTGGTGCTTCTCCTCGACTTCATCTTGCAATGCTGTTGCGCAATGCAGTGCAGTGAAGAAGCTCTTACGCCAATATCATCAGTTACAGCAACAGATTCAGCAACAATAATAGTAATAAAAGTAACAGCGGAAAAAAACAACAACAGCCGTCGCAAATAGAAAGAACAAAAAATACAACAAAAACAATAACAAAAACAGTCTCTGGGAAGGAGAGAAATAACGGCAGCAAAAGCAACATCAACAAAATCAACAATATCGATAACAACAACGGCAACAGCCCCGAAGAGGGAGGGAGAGAGAGAGGGATTGAGGGAGAGAGAAAGAGGGATTTAGGGAGAGAGAGAGAGAGAGAGAGAGAGAAAGAGGGATTTAGGGAGAGAGAGAGAGAGAGAGAGAGAGAGAGAGAGAGAGAGAGAGAGAGAGAGAGAGAGAGAGAGAGAGAGAGAGAGAGAGAGAGAGCGCCACGCTAATGGCGGACGATTTATTCAGGTGTAGCGGACATCGCCGGCACTGATAGCCTCTGTCCTGGGGCTCCATAGGCTGTTATTGCTGGGGCGCCCCCTCCCCATCCCTTGCCCCCTCTGCCCTCTCTCCTCTCCCCTCTCTCTCCATATTCCCTCTGTCTCCTCTCCCCTCTCCCCCTCTCTTTCTATTTCCTCTTCCTCTTTCATTCTCTCTTTACTTTTCCTCTCCCCTCTCCCCCTCTCCTTCTATTTCCTCTCTCTCTCTCATTCTCTCTTTACTTTTCCTCACCCCTCCCCTCTTCTCTCCCTCTCACCCACTCTTTCTCTTTCCTCTCTTTCCTCTCTTTCCTCTCTTTCTCTCTCTTCCTCTTCCGGTTTTAAGGTAGCCAGTCAGAACGAGAGAGGGAGAGAACGCATTGTGTTAGTGTTTTATTGATGTATTTATATTCGTTATATTTATGTAGATTTATGATGATGATGGATATGATGATGATGATGATCTTCGTCCTTGTTTCCCTCTTCCTTCTACTCTTCTTCTCCTCCTCCTCCTCGTCCCTCTCCTCCCTTTTTTCTCCTCTTCTTTCTTGTCTTCCTTCTCCTCCACTTTTCCTCTTTCTCTTTTTTCTTCCCCTCCCCCCTCTTCCTCCTTCCATTTCCCCTCTTCCTCCTCCTCCTCCGCCTTCGCCTCCGTTGTCACCGCCACTGCGCCTCTCCCCTTCCTTTCTAATCTCCCCTTTCTGTGCCTTGTTTTTCTCCTCGTCTTCCTCCTTATTTTCTGTCCTCGTAACTCTGGCCCAAGATTGCAAGACGATGTTTTATTGCAATTCCATATTTTTTTTCCTTGCATTTTTTTTTAACCATTTGAGGATACGAGAAATGCATACATATCCGGTGATTAGCTTCGTAGGATTCTCTCTTATATTGCTGATTCCTCATTTCCAAAGGGTTGGTTGGTCATAATACTCAAAATAAAAAGAAAAGAAAAGAAAAAGAAAAGAAAATGGCGGAAATAGAAAATAACTATTATTATAATTAAGGTCGATTAATGAATAATAAAATTGCGAGCAACCTGTTGTGGGAAATTGTCTTGAGTCTCTCCGTTGCATAAAGTTCGCGCTTGAGTCTCTCCGTTGCTTAAAGTTCCCGCTTGAGTCTCTCCGTTGCATAAAGTTCGCGCTTGAGTCTCTCCGTTGCATAAAGTTCGCGCTTGAGTCTCTCCGTTGCATAAAGTTCGCGCTTGAGTCTCTCCGTTGCATAAAGTTCGCGCTTGAGTCTCTCCGTTGCATAAAGTTCGCGCTTGAGTCTCTCCGTTGCATAAAGTTCCCGCTTGAGTCTCTCCGTTGCATAAAGTTCGCGCTTGAGTCTCTCCGTTGCATAAAGTTCGCGCTTGAGTCTCTCCGTTGCATAAAGTTCGCGCTTGAGTCTCTCCGTTGCATAAAGTTCCCGCTTGAGTCTCTCCGTTGCATAAAGTTCCCGCTTGAGTCTCTCCGTTGCATAAAGTTCGCGCTTGAGTCTCTCCGTTGCATAAAGTTCCCGCTTGAGTCTCTCCGTTGCATAAAGTTCCCGCTTGAGTCTCTCCGTTGCATAAAGTTCCCGCTTGAGTCTCTCCGTTGCATAAAGTTCCCGCTTGAGTCTCTCCGTTGCATAAAGTTCACGCATATTTTCTTCTCATTTTTTGGTATGTTTTTCCCTTCGTCCCCTTCTATTATTTTCTGTCGTATCCGTAGCTTTGATTTTTTTTCTGCTAGACGTATGACAGGAGCCTTTTTTATTATTCTCCTCCTTTTTTCCTCTGCTCTCTTCTCCTCCCCCTTTCTCTCTCTCTCTCCCTCTCTCTCTCTCCCTCTCTCTCTCTCTCTCTCTCTCTCCCTCTCTCCCTCTCTCTCCCTCTCTCTCCCTCTCTCTCCCTCTCTCTCTCTCTCTCTCT